GTCCCCGACTGAAAACTGCCTGACGTTCGCTGTGCCCGGTGCTCTGACACCTCCTCAACCAGGTTCTCGGCATTTGGGGCAGAGCCTGCTGCGCGTCCTGCGTCTTGATGCCCCTGCTGATTCTCATCAACATCCGGGTGCAAGGCTTCGTCTTGAGCTGCAGCTTCTTCCGTTCCGCGCTCCTCTGTCCCCGACTGCAGGGTACTTGACTTCCGCTTTGCCTCATGCTCTGACAGTACTTCATTTTGGGCTGCCTCCTCCGTTCCGCGCCCTTCGGTCCCCGACTGGAAACTGCCTGACGTCCGCTGTGCCCGGTGCTCTGACACCTCCTCGACCAGGTTTTCGGCATTCGCGGCAGTGCCTGCTGCACGTCCTGCGTCTTGATGCCCCTGCTGATTCTCATCACCATCCGGGTGCAAGGCTTCGTCTTGGGCTGCAGCTTCTTCCGTTCCGCGCTCCTCTGTCCCCGACTGCAGGCTACTTGACTTCCGCTTTGCCTCATGCTCTGACAGTACTTCATTTTGGGCTGCCTCCTCCGTTCCGCGCCCTTCGGTCCCCGACTGAAAACTGCCTGACGTCCGCTGTGCCGGGTGCTCTGACACCTCCTCGACCAGGTTCTCGGCATTCGCGGCAGTGCCTGCTGCACGTCCTGCGTCCTGAGGCTGTGTCCAACCAGCATTTGCTTCGGACGAACCATCACTATCGAAATCTTCTCGTCTGCTCATGAACCGGAACCGTTGGAAGAGCCCGTCATCAGGCCGTCTTGGAGTGTCAAGATCTGATGGCTCACAGACAATGCATCAAGGGCCCGCTCATTACTGGCACGCCTTGAGTGCATTGCTTGAAGCCATCGTGCACTCGGAAAGACATGGATTCGGAGAATGGATGCAACCCGCACACAGCCTACTATTTACAAATATACAATCGATTGACTGGCAAGTTCCTGCTGCATGAAAACTTCCGCAACAACAACTACAGAGCATGGAAGAACTGCTTGAATTCGATGCACCGTGATGAAACCGTATCGGAAGATGCCGGACGTCTTCTGACTGGCATAAGGAATGTGGGCCTTGCGTGCGCATGGGCACCCGACTTCGATTTTCGCTTCCGCGATGCCCGTCTGCCACGTGTTGAAGAGATTGATCGACTTTCGGTTTAACCTGGCACGGCTTTGCTGCATCTTGAAGACTCGGCGCGGGTCCCTGTTCAAACAAGCAGCTCTTGGAATCAAAAGTGATGACCGCCAGCAGACATCCCAGTGCATAGACGGCGTCGACGCCTGCCTTTACCTCGGGGCTCCAGACTGAGGTAGGCGACCACTCGTTGATAAGCCATGCGAGACTGATGTGACTACTTCACTACTTGCTGGCAAGAGTGGCTGTCAGCGACCTGAGCTTTTGTTATGGAAAGCATCTTCTGCAAACGTGGCAGCATGTGCCGGCGACTGCCATGTCATGTCAGCAGTTGCATCTGGGTCGCAGAGATGTCTGTCCATGTCCTTACGGGACAGGACGGCCCCCCCAGCACTGCTCTTGCTTTCACAAGGCGGATGGATATGCTTGTGAATTTGGATGAGAGGGAATGTGCACGACAGCGGTATCCGAAGTTGCCAAATAATCGCCTGCATTGACGTTCACAGGCAAAAGGGTGGTTAAAGCCAAGCATCATGCAATTGGGTTCGGAACAAGGTTCTAGAGGACTTGCAAGCTTGGGATTTGGATTGCGCATCGCGCATGTTTGACCGGTCTGCAAATTATTCTTTTGTGCCAGCTTCGTCCTTTAATTAGGGCGTCCCTTTCCGGGGCGTGGCCTTTGGGGCCTGTTGAAGTCCTTGGATCTGTTGGGTTTTGGGCTTCGTCTTGAGTTGTGTGGCTCGGGCTTCTGGTCCAAGGAACAATGCTGTTCCAGTACACGGACGGCCACTGGCCGACATCTTGGGTATCGTTCGGACCATCGGTCCGTTCAATCTGGGGCGTCGTCTAAATTTACATCCCGAAATCCTCGACACCCTCACTAAACCCTAAACTCCCGAAACCCTCCCCCAAACGAAAAAAGAAGCCAGCAAGAAGCTAAGGTCATCATTGTAACATTGCTGAATTTACTGTCTCGTCTTTAACACGGCTCCTGTCGTTTTACAGGTCACTGCAAGCATTTGACATCTTCACTGCCATCTTCGACGGCCGCCTGCTTTAAGATCAATGTACGATAGTTTTGAAATTTCGCCTCAACAAACGGCAAGACATTGATTGTCCTACGGAACAACATGGCGAGGCACACGATGCCTGCATGCAACACAAACCCCGTAGGACCGATCCCGCGAAAGATGCCTGCAGTAAGTTTCCAGGAAGGAGCACCTAGCGTTCGACTGAGACGTTTCCCTTCTCGCGAGCGGACAGAAACGGTACCGAGTCAAGACACCCACAGCAGCTATCGCCACCAGCCGCCCAGAAGGCAGCAGGCCCAGCTCCACGCGTCCCGAGCCCGAAGTCGAAACGAGCAAATCCTTCCCAAAGCGGCTCTGTTTCGCTTCGAAAGCTTGGGCTAAAGGCTGAAAGGCCGTGAAATGTTGGGTTCCGAGGCCGCTGCTGGCTTTGCTCCCTTGCGCTGCAACAACAGGCGACGCCGAGACTCGCTGCCTGCGTGCTATGTGCATCTGGCATCATCTGGCATCCAGGCGCTTGCAGTGAGCTCTCATCTGTGCCTCCGAGCGGTGCAGGCTCCAAGGTTCCAAGATACTCTCCTGCGGCATCTGCCCCGTGGCATTCGTGACGCAGTTCTAAGGCTGCACACAACCTCCCGCATCCTTCTCGAAGTCGACCCTTCCAGAGCACCAGGTCCGAGGTGATCGTCAACAGTATGCGCCCTTAACGCTCATGCTGCAGGATTCTCTGGCAAGTGCACAGGGCCGTTCTGCCTCCCTCAGCTCCTTTGCATCCCGGCTCCTGAGAAGATCACTCACAAATCTGCTGGGCCATTGCGAAACTGCAGAAGAGCCTGTACAGGGCAACTAGAGATACTCTCAGCCCTGCGATATAGGCGCATCTGCAGAACCGAGAATGCAGAAAGAGCAAAAGAGTTTCCCTTCACTTCTCCTGCTCTCGCAGCTCCAATGTGCGAGTCGATCCTGGACACAGACCCAATGAATATCCGTGAGAGGATATCCTCAGGTCTAGTGAAGTGCGAGACCATCCGAAGTCGAAGGATCGGAACGCTGCCAAGCCTTCGAGATGCAGATTCGCGGTCAGTAGAGGAGTCGGCGGCCCCCTGCCAGGTTGCGGGAAGAGGCGGCTCAGGCTTTTTGAAGCCAACATCTCCCAGAGCCCAGGGGCCTCAGCGAAAGAGAGGCCCCCAGACCGAGCACGTCGCAACTCTGTTCTGTGATAGGCAGCACGACAGACAAGCGGGCTCCTGTCGGGGAGGTGCCGGGGTGCAGTTGGCCTCTACAGCTCCCTCCGCCACGACTTCCTAAACGTGGAAGATTTCCAGAACCCGTGCCAAGCAATCTTTGGTTTTCAACAGGATGATGTTGAGGGCAGGGAAAAGTGCAAGGAGTGTGAAGGAAACTTTCGTAAACTCCCGCACGCTCTAGCTTCCCTGACATGCGACAGGGGAAGCCATGTGCACCTCGTGGCTGTTCAGTCCGACATGTCTGTCCTTGTGCTGCTTTCATGTAGGGCGGGCAGATCCCAGGCAAGTTCGTAGGCAAACCTCAGCGAGAGATCGGCCAAAACTTTGTTCAACTCACTCCAAATCCGTTGTGGTCCTGCAGTGTCTGGTAAAGCCGCAAGACCTGTACATCTTGTTTGAATGACGGTTTGATCCCAGGCTGACGGTGAACCTTGAAGAGAGGTCTCGGGACAGTCTTCTGCCGAAAGCCGATCCTCTGTGCTCAACAACTTGTCAATCGCGATGGGTGGATGCTGTTGAAGGGACCTCGAACTCAGGAGACCATCTGCAAAATGAAACACAGGGAGTGCCAATAAGCCAATAAGTGCCAACGTCAAGACACTCGATCTTCTGGCATTTGCTCTCCTCTGGCTCTGGTTCCTCAGCAACCGCAAAAGCTGCGGATGCCCACTCTGCTGCTGCACATCGCATGTGCTTGTTGTTTCGATTTCTTCAGTGGGGCGTGTTCCTGAGAGTGTATCAGCGTATCTTTACCAGATCTTGGCAAAAATAGGCTTTGAAGTTGAAATCCTCTGATCACTAGCCCGGTTTTTCGGCTCCGGTAGCAAACTCAGCCATCTGCCAGTTCGTCTCCTGCTACCACGCATTCGAGTGTGTTCGTGGTCCTGACCCTGACTCAACTTCTGTTGGTTTGTCGTTCACGTAGGCGGTTCGAATTCCCACCTGCTTCCAAAGAAGCAGCTCCATGTACATTCAGACGATCATGAGATGGGCAGGCAGGCAATCACGATGGGTCTTTGTCTCAGTGCCCACTTTCTGTTGCAGTTCGTGACACTTGTGTAAGTACCATTTTGCTGTCGCCAACACCACCACAACATCAGCTGTCTGCGCACGCAGCTCGGTCCCAAATTCTAGCTGTGCCTGTATTGATAGCAAAAGCGACACTCAAACGATGCCGCGTTCGCGCGAATACTTCCGCCTTGGATCCTGCGACTACAAGTTCCTTACAGACATGTCGTTCTCCAAGTTGCTCGGTTGATGGAAAAATCTGACATGACCTATCTCCCAACAAGAATGCAGAATAATGGTTTTTGGGAGTGGGCTGGCTCTTCGTTGGCCATACTTTCGCTCACACCTCTGGCTCTGGCGGCTGCTGCCGGTTCCGCTCCATTGCGCAAGAGCCCTGTGCAGCTCACGAAGATTATCTTCTGGCTCCTTCCTGTCAGTGCCCGCAATCTGCGTCCCGGCATGAAGGATGAAAGTCTGTCTGAGCAACACGCATGTCAAATCGTGTACGAGATTGGCTGGCAGGCTGGCTGGCGGGCGGGTGGGACGGATAACCTACGACCAGTTGCTGACAAGCCATCTCAAGGAGGTGCCGTGAGAATGAAACCTGGAGAAGTTTGGAGTGTTTCAGAGTGCAGTATAAAGGCAGAGGCTGGCAAGGGCGGGCCATCAGGGCCTTAGGATTTAGAACTTTTCGGTTCACTCTCTGTCTCCTGCTTCCTGACGACTAGGCCGCAAATGTGACCTGAACGTCTCTTGGGCTCACACGGGATCTGCCACATCCACCACCCTCCACAGAGCCATGGCGATGACGGCAACGAGCAAGAAGAGCATCTGCAGCACACGTCTCTCTAACCATACCGGACTGTAGAAAGTAGTGTCGTGAAAAAAGGACTCATTTTGGACGCGGCGCCATTAGTGCACGCATCGCTGCTAGGGTGAGGAAGCCGTCGAAGCGGAAAGCTGTCCAGACATCCGCCTTTCCGAGTTTCCGAAGCTGCTTCGCTTACTACACTGCCCCCTGCATTCCCTGCACCTGTTGGGCAAAGTTTGGTTGTGCATGCAACACCAAATGTTCGTGGCTAGTCACGCCGTACCATATGTACCATGTGGCATGAAACATCAACATATGCCTCCAGAACTGTCCAACCTTCGGCCTGGCCTGCACGGCATCTCGGGGTATCACCGAATCACGAAGTGTCTCAGCAATGACCTCCCGACACAGCACCTGGAAGCGGCTTCGTAGAACTCTTTGGACATCTCGGAATTGCAAAGCAAAGTTGTGAACAGGATTTGAGTGGAGGGCTGGCAAAGCTGGCATCCGCAGGATGCCTCTGACGGCAGACTGTCATTGCGCCAACCAAAGTGTCCAAGTAGTTTGGCAGGTCTGCAGCAGTTCGGGCCCAAGTTGCTACAAGTAAAGCCCCAAAAGGGCCGCACATCGCGAGGGAGCAAGTCGCACAAATGCTAAATCCTTTCTCTTGCACGGGCAAGTGCTCGAATCGCCAGTCTTGCTTGTGAACTCAGCGAACGGTTCGCTGTTCGTTCTTGCCGGGGGGCCCACAAGCATAGGTTTTGCGACTAGCTGAAGAATTGTCCTGCGATTTTCCTACCTGCTACGAACTTCTGCTAAATTTCTGCCTTTTCGGAGAAACGCTAAGTTTCCAGACGGCTCGAATCCTATATGGTATCACACCCTGTGTATGTCATACGTTGTGGCCCAAATGTCTTCGCAATCTTCACAGCTGTTTGGAATCTGAATGAACTTGTTTAAGGTGACGGCGACTGTACACGCCTTGCGTTTTTACACATTTCAGGCTTTCGGGGGTGTGGGCATCTTGAACTCAAACAGAGGCATATAAGCTTCAACGTTGCCCTTGAGGTACATCTCCTCACCTCAACTTTGTGTGGAAGGCTCTCTGGCGAAAAGCCACAAGACCTGCGAACCTCTTGTGGGCGTTGGGACAATTATCGAAGGCGGCGGCATGAGCAAAATGAAAACCTGTGACACTTCAGCTCTTGCCTCAAGCTTCAATCCCTGACCCTACCTAAGTAGGGCAACTCAGGACTACTTCCTCTAAAACTCTATCTCACACAAGGGTTTGTTTTGCAGCCTCTTGAAAAAGAGGTTGAAACCCAAGCGACAACGCAGTTAGGCCCCGAGTTTACTTCAGCCACTAGCGTTTCGCGCACCTGCCCGGACTGCAAGTTTTCCTGAAATTGCGCTCTGGCTGTGGTTTCGCGCGAATCCATGTAGAACTCCTGATTCTGAAATGTGTAAACGCATAGGCGCGTACGGGCACCGTTTCCTTGTTGAAAGGCAAGCAAACCCTCAACCCACCATGCCCCTGCAGCCCTACAACGTTAAACCTGGGCAAACCCTGTCTAAGTCTTCAACCCTATGATCGATCTCTGACTAAACCCTCGCCCCGAAACCCCGCATAAAGCAGGAACCGTAGGACCGTAAAGATGAAACAAACCCACACACACACACACACAGACACACACAAACCCGGCACTAAGCCCCAAATCTTCGGGCACTGCTACCCCCGAGCCCAAAGCCGCTCATAGACGGCGCACAAACGCAAGCAAAGCCTCCTGTAACGGTATCTAACAGAAACCCCCCGAAGCAGCAGGCTGCACAAATTGGGTTCTGTATCCCCAACCACAGTGCATACTTAAAATCTTCCCAGTTAATTCCCTGATCCTGTGTTGGTTTGCTTTCAAGGATCGGATAGGGTATACCCCCTTGAACTTGAACAATAGACCCCGCTACCGTAGCAGGGAGCGTAAGACGGATGCAAAAACAAAGGGTTCTTAGCTACAGGGGGTTTAAGTACCAGGAACCTACCTGAAATCCTGAACCCGAAGACCAAAACTGGACAACTCTTCAACCTAGTAACGGGACGAAGACAGCTTGTTGCAAGGATCCCGAAAAAGAGCCGATCAGGCCTCCTCCAACCTTAAACTTGAAATCCTCAAGTCTAAAACTCTGGACCCGAGTTTTTCCAAGGGTTATCTATTGTGGGGGCTGCTTGCGAATCCTTAGAATAATGATTCCGTCTGTCGCTTATGATATTGGAGTTTCACCAAAGAGTCCGTCAATTTGCAAAAGAGCTAGGCTGCCATATAGTAAATATTAAAGGTCAAAGAGATGTTGACGTTGCTGGCGGAGGTCTTGGGAGGGATCTAGTCAAGTTTAATGGAGTGTAGGATTGAAAATCTTCAGGGCTGAGGAATGTGCAGGGTCGCGGAAGTGGCGGATCAAGGTCTTCAATCCTAGGTTTGATGGGTTTAGGGTTGATGGTTGGTTTGGGCGCAAAGAGTCCATCTAAAGCACCCAAAGCGTACGATCGGATCATTCTCCAAACTGCCTCCCGCGAAAGCGTCCTCTCTTCTGATCGGGCAAAGTCCTGCAAACGAAACTGCAGCAAATCTTCTGCTCGGATCATAAACCGACATGTCAATTGGAAAGGGCACACGCGTCTATATTATGTCTATATCTGCATCATACATATACAGATGTATATACCCATACCTACATCGTTCTATATCTGTGGCCATAAAGCTCAGCCCACCTCGCCACATCTCCAAATTTCCAATCGCTACATTTCCGGATTTTCATTGTGCAGCTTTATAAATCCTGATCTTCCTCCTCGTATGGTTTTTTTGGTCGCGTCAGCGTGCTACTTCAGAAACTGAGCTCCACCGGGTTAGCCAGATCATAAGGCTGGCCCGTATATATCATCGTAACAAAGTATTGTCACCAGTGATCTCGAGTGCTCTTGCCATTGAGTATCGACTTTTTCTATGGCTAATGTAGGCAGGTCATTAACGTGCAAACGAATCGCCGACTCAATTCTTAGGGCTAAACGAGCTGGCTTGTTCACACATTTACGCTGAAGCCGAACAACCTAAACCAAGCGTGATCTTGTGGCGATGGTTCGATTCAAGCCAAATTAAGGGATTTACTATACTCGTTCAACACAATCGTAACGAAAAATATTGAGCGGTCTTGATCCTATCAAGTTTGTCGCGGCTGGCATAAGCACATGAACCAAAATTGGCGAGTGCAGCTACAGCAGCCTTTGACTTTCTTCGACTCACACAGCTTCATGGTTGAAAATGCTGGGCATTGGACCCACCTTGTCTATCCGAGAACCAAACGATATCAAGTGCACTTTGTTGAAGTGCACAGAGCCACTCCAACACATCACGTGTCTGAACAAAGTCTGATCGAACCTCTCATCTCACGCAGCAAACACTCGAGATTGAAGCGACTGGTTCGTGAAGTTGGCGCCTATTCAGCTTCGGCCCTTTGTGACGTTAGACCTAGAGTCGATCGCTGGAGGCAACATGGTTAGGGATGAACAGGTTCGCGACTGCCCTGCTGAACGACAAAACTGATCCCTACATCCCTTGAAAGCTTCCTCTACAAACATCAGCCTCTTGGTCAGTTGATAATGGGCCTACAAACATGATGTGATGTGTATCCACCTGGTCGGTTTTCTCGGCAGTATTTGGAACTTCGGGAAACCAGCAAAACAGAGGTGTTGACGCAACAGAAACGCTTACGATTCAAGCAATTAGAAGCTCAACAAGATCTGAATCGCAGATAGCAGCGAAGCTATCTGGTCCTTGTGGGTTTAAGCATGTGCAGCTGAGGGCGTGTCTCAGGACCAGAGGAACAGCGAACCGGAGAAAGGGACCGGGGAAGAAAAACGCGACGAGAATGTCCCAGCAACATGTGCCCCACAAGCGCTAGAACACTTCAGATTTGAGGCGGACTCTGCCACATGTCCGGGCGGGAAGGGTATTAAACACCAGTGTATTCCGCCTACCCACATGTCACGTCAGCCACTCGTGCCTCGAACTGCCGCCCGTCAAGTCTCTGCATCGACAGGCACTCTGGCTTTCGTTGATTCCCTTGTTGATGTTGGCCGCTGTAGAACAACTCTGTTCGAGAGGTACTTACAGATTACCATGTGCATACGCATGTCTACAAAAGAGTGCATGTGCATGTGCTTGAGTTGTGACATGCAAGGTTGGTACGGTTTCCGCTTGAGGGCAAAGGCCATTCGACGAATGACGGTGCACTCGAACCCTCTCCTGCAGGGATAACTAATCTATCAGGAGCACGCTGAACGAGATACACCGCTCCCTGCCATTGCTTGAGGCCCCTGAGGTTTGAGCGTATCACTTCGCATGAATCCTGACCTCGATGTGAGCTACTCGCAGTCGCCGACCATCTTCAACGTAATCATTGAATCTGGTGCTCCAACCAGCTCAGATGTGCAGAAATCACCCAGGAAAAAAGGCTTCGATGCGTAAGCCTTTGGAGTCCAAAGTCGCGTGCTGCCAGTGCGGCTCGGCACAGTCAAATCTACGGCCCTTTCAGAGCAGCTACCACAGCATCACCTGGCCAAGAGAGCTCAATGCGGGTAAACTGTCGAAAGCTTTCTCAGCCCAGCAGATTTCAGAACCCAGCAGCAGTCGCCTATGGCACTGGTCGACACAGCGTTGCTGCGCTGACTTTCTTCCAACAGGTCTCCTGTGAGCCTCCCTGACCTTAGAACCAATTCGATCTGCCACACATCGCTATCGTTGTTCGTTATGAGCTTTGTGCTTCAAGACTTCTTCGCAGGCCGCTTCGACGGCGGCTGCCTCTTTTTCGAGCTGGAAGGAATACCTCCACGCACCACATCCCGTCACGTCTCTCTTTGCTTTGCTTTGTTTTGCTTGGGGTTAGAGCGAGGGGCAAGGCCCCTAGCCCGCGCATCAGCGCAACCACATCTCTCTCTCTCTCTCTCTCGATCTATCTAATTATCTATCTTTCTATCTATCTGTATATAGATATCTCTCTCTTTCTTTCGCCAGGGCTATGGTGCAGCGATTGTGCCTCTCTCTATCTCTCTCTCTTTCCTGGGGCTCTCTCTCTCTCTCTCTCTCTCCCTCTCTCCCTTGCATTTCACTCCATGATCAACTGGGCTCTGTCTTGTCGCTTCGTCCCTCGTAGATGCAAGAATGTTGCCCAGCTTTCACGAGATGCTCCTCACATACTCATACTTAGTATGCTTGCGTCCTCACGGCACCGAAACCCTGATTCTTGGATTCCCTCAACCGCCTAAAACCAGAGCTGCGCTTTCAGAGGAATGTAGACAACTGTAGGGATGGACGAGAGTCAGCCTGGCGCAGCTTGTAAAACTGCGAGCCAAAGATTCAGTCCGTCCGCTACTTCACGCAAGGCTCATGCTGGGGGAGAAGTGGAGGAGCCATGGGGAGCAACGTCGTGATTTGATAGCGCGTGAATCGACAGCTGAGGCTCTCAGCATTAAGGCCAACATCGGGCGATGCATGAACGTTCGAGGTGTCACAGCGTTCTCGCAGTGTTGACTCCAAAGCTGTAGCTCCGAGAGGAATCAGCTTGTCGAGTCAGATTGAGGAGGACTTCCGTCGACAGGTGCACTTGCGACTGAATCACTTCTTTTTAAAACTTGAAGGGATGCAAAGAAGTGAAGCAGGCCATGCCTCAGCATCATAGCGCCGCTCAAGATCTGCGCGATTGGGTTCGCCACCCCTTTGCCTTCCACCGCCATTCACGCTCCGATTAGCCACACTGCACCGGAAAGAGATTCATCTCGGAGCCTGCTATGTCCGGCGCACTGCCTCCGCTGGGCTCGTACATGTGCAGCCCGTCGCCCAGTGATGCTGAAGGCCTCAGGATCTTATAGCCAAAAGCTTTCAGGGGAGAGCTGAGTACTGGTCGTAGGTTTTAGATGCAATCGGTAAAGTTCGTTAAAGAAAAATGATCGTCTCTATTGGTCGGGTCGAGTTTTGCAATGCGAAGGCAGAAACATCCGCGTGCGTGTTTCCCTGCATAGCTATGCATTGGGCTACTTCGGTTGAGCGGCATGAGTCCCAGTGATCCCGGAAGAACGCTTGCTGCATCGGACAGGATGTCACCGAACATGTTCCTGTCGTTTCGGTCATGCTCTGCTCTCATGATAGCGTCTCAGCACTTCTCGCTCTGTCCCGGTCGCAACTACTTCTTCGCTCTGTCCCGGTCGCAACTACATCGAAGAAGGACGGCTTCTGGATCACCTGCATGCACGCATTGTCTATGTACCTGAGCGACACAGAGGAGCAGCTGCTGTGCACAGTGATGTGAATTGCTAGCTCAACTACGGGTCGACTCCTATAGCGTCTGGTGGCATGAAGTCCAGCTCCACATCTGGGTAGCCCTTATGCACCTCTCGAGCCACCTGGAAGGCCAAAACAAGAAGGAAGGAAGACACGACGACACCCAGCGCTCGGTTTCCGCTGCACGGTTCCGCACCTCGCGCCACAGGCGGGAACACTCAAGCACATTTGCCTTGTCCACCACCGTCACCTCCCATGACACGGCACCGAAAACTCCCGGGAGGACAACATGAAATAGCAGCCGTCAACTCGCCTTCTTCCGTCGAAGCCTCGCCGCCTCGAACGCAAAGACCATAGGCTTCCTGATCCCTTCCACCTTAGCACGCAGTTTGCTGATTGGCTGCATGATGGCCTCAGCTTTCACTCCATCTCAGCTCGATGCGGTATACTCCATGACGTCGAAAGCCTGCAAGCATCAACATGGCTGCTGCCACACGGCGAAGACTTAGAAACGATGAGTGGGAGCAGCGAGGGGTAGAGGGCCTTGTCTCCATCTCTCTTGTGCTCGCCAAAGTAGATGCCTCTTCGCCGGAGGAAGCAGATTCTGCGGAAACAGGTGCTTGAGCATACAGGAGACCCTTTGGAACGCCTCCCACCAGCTCACGAATAATGACCATGTCAACTCCTGTGCCTGCCAGGTCAGGCTGCAAAAGCTACCCTCAAAGTGCGAGCTTGAACAGCTACCACGGACGATCACTTTTGAATCTTGGTCGGAATGCAACCGCATGAAGCCATGCAAAAAGGCCTATGATGGATGGCTTCAGTGGGCAAAGATGTGACAGAAACGGGTACACCTTCCAGGCTCACATCTCGACATGTTGACTTCAAGCCTCGGCAGCGGCCTTCGAAGGTCTGAGGTTCACCGCCAGCTTGAAACCTCAGCCGGGAGCGGCTGACGTGTCGCAGGATCTTCCCTTGGAATCGTCCTTGTAGCCGAACTTTGAATCACCGGGTTGTCGAGGCGGGTTGTCTCTTCCCAGAAGAAGCACAGGACGACACAGAGCAAACACATCAGAATACGAGCAACGGAACCAAAAGTGAAAAATCGAACGTGCGAAACTTCGAACAACCTTAATCAGCAAAAAGGCCGACATTTTACCAGCGTAGACCCCAGACATCCCCAGACAGTGGAAAAGCACCCAACAGCCCAAGCCCTTCATGTGCAAGAAGCATTTCAGGAGCACCATTCCAGCATCACCCGCTGAGGCTCCAAAAACGAAATTGCACACCACAATGCGGCGGAGCAACATTTGCACCCCCCAACATGCACTGCGCCCCCGAGACCCAGGTTGGTCGAGCGCCCTTTCAGAGAATCTTTCAAAGTGGCTGCCATCCCAGCAGCGCACGGACGATGTGTCCCGTCTCACAAATACTCGACAGAGAAGCTGCCAACCATATTCGCAAGAGCATGCCGAGGTCCTTCACGCGACTGCGATCGATGCGCGATGATGTTCATGGTTTGCAACTCTTCCATCTGCGAACGCTTTTCGACTGATGCTCACACAACCCCCACCTTCATGCTGAGACGTGCTGCCAGGCTTTGGCATGCTCTTTGCGATCGCAAACGCACTTCGCTGCATCGATTCTGTTCTTGCTCGCGTCACGAACCATCCAAGTTTGACCGCTGAGCTATTCCTTCAACCAGCCCGCAAGAGTCCGCAGGTGATCACCAAATCTGCTCGTGGTTGGGGATAGGTGAATATAAACGTCAACGTGGTGGGCATTATGATTGCTCTGATAAAACAGAAGGTGGGCTTGTCGTTTTGCTATCGCTACAAGATCAAGGAACTGTGACTCGTCGAGGCAACGCCTGCAAGACACCAGAAACTGCCGAGTTTGCAGGAAACTTGGATATGAGGGATGTAGGCGGGAACCTGCGATTCGTTTGAGCGTGGATCCTTCGTATCGCGCTCAGAACCCATCCGTTCATCCAAGTCTCGCTTTCTCAAGCCCAACAGCGCATTCTTTTCGCAGTCTTTCCAACGCGGCCTGCAGTTCTCCACATCATGAAGCACACAGAATCTGTTTCAAAGAAACGTAAAAGCCGGGTGCATTGCTCATGCTGCTGATCCACCGGCCCACCCACGGAACCAAAAAGGATCGCATCCTGGCAGGGGAACGAACCACGCAACCACAACTATACAGGCTAACAAGCGGAGACCGGATTGAAAATCAGAAGTACTTCGTTGATAACAGAAGCGTGGACGGTACAATGCTGATTCATCATGATTCATCGGCATAGCAGCCACTCAGACAATGCCAACAGTAACACCAAACAGCTGCCTCAGTTTTTCACCAGCCCGGTCCGACTTCTCACAGCCCTCGAGTGTACGTGCAGGAAGATGCGTAGGTGTATCTCCTGCAGCCTGCAAGCTCAAGGAAGCAGTGATTGACACGAATGATGCCATGACTATGAACAGATTGCTTGGTCACGTAAACTGCCCGAGCGGACAATGTCAGAAAATGTCAGCACTCCTCGCAAGGCCAAGACAGGCACAATCCAAAGGAGCTGCTCGAATGTGGGAAAATATCCAGATCTTCACCCAAAAAATTGAACAGCTTGCCGGATTCAATTCGAGCTCTCGACTTCCAGGCACAAACCACATTCCGGATTGATCTTACAGTCTTCGGGCCGAGGATTGGAAGTTGCGCGAGTACCGCCGGTAGCCTACAGCTGTCATGGCGCTAGCAGGACGGCCTACCAGGTGACGAAACATCACAGTTCTGTTCTCGAGCATCAGCAGTCCAATATCGCAGTTACAGGTGGAAATGGCTACGTTTCCCAGAACTGTCGATGAAGCAGTGGCTCTTGGAGCTTTCTACGGAAGCAGATGAACTTATCCAGCGCCCAGAATGTATTTAGTGATGGCCTGAGTCGAAACTCCTTCGTGACTGTGTCTTGGGCTGGGCTGTGGGCCTCTGCAGCCGCCCAAGCTGCTCCACCGACCTGTCACGGATACAAATGCCGCTTTCGGCCGTCGCAGAGCTCTACCCTTGCAGCGCCCATGTGAAGCCACTCATGTCAGGAAAGGATTTACGAAAAGCTTCGCTGCACCGCAGCCCGTGCTGCACCTTGTAGTCTTCGAAGTTGAATCCGTGGCCGTAAAGCTCGCCCACCTTCCGGACCACCTGCCCAGGTGCTCCACCCAAACTCAGGCAGGGTCCCTGCTGCCCGCCCTAACATAAATCAACTTCATGCTCGTTATGTATATAGATAGATAGATAGATGGATGGATAGACATTCCTACTCAAGCCTCGGTACGACTGCTAGGCCACAGTTCATGGTCCTTGCAGTCGAAAAAAAACTTGCAACCTGTCGTCTGTATCGTACAGTAAGCGGGAGAGTATCACTAGGATCATTATCATGCTTGCCTCCTCCTCACCTTTTTTTGCCTTTGTGGCTTGCCTCAAGATAGCCCATAAAGAGGTGCTGTCTGGATCAACTCCAAAAATACATATTTGCTTGCATCCAAGGAATGAAATCTGCGGGAATTGTAGATATTGGCAATGCCGAGCACGCGACTTGTCCGCATGCTGCGGAACCCCCTACATGGCCCTACTTGTGAAGCCATAGACAAAGGGGATACTGGCTTGTCTGGGATGAGGCACGACGCAAGACCGCACACAAGAACGCCACTACGTCACCACATGACATTGTCAATGCATCACTCCCGAGAGCAGGCAATTGCATCACTGTGCCCGAGACTGGCCGAGTCATTCAAAGCTAGCTATTAGCAGTCGGCTTCATGACGTAGGACTGCGAAGCAATGCAGGACTTCGAAGCAATGCCCGGCTGTCGCAGTCTTTTTGGCTTTGTCCAAGCTATCCCTTGACAAATAGAAAACTCCGCGGTTGCCCCAGCAGAACTTCAACACATCTCTTGCAGAATGCTGTCTTGCAGCAACCCCCGATTCCACGTGAAAACACATTGAAGCCGACCGAAGACAGGGGTTCTCTCGATGATTCAGACGGCATGTCGCTGTCTTCAAAGTTCGTGCTGCGCTCCCTCAGTATGAAACGCACAATAAAGCTGGTGTCCTCCTTTATTCTCGGGCCATCCTCAACTTTCGATATCACTCGCATTCCAAAACATCCGATCCCTAGGCCGCTAGAAGCTGAACCTGAAATTTCCAGGGGGTATGTGCAAAGACTAGCACCAGCTCGTGTAACACGGGTCGACTCGGAGTTTATGGCAGATGACAAATGCCTGCCAGGCACTCAGCAGCGGCCTTAACAGCTTCAGCCATCACCTCCGGGCCGATGCCATCTCCACCGAGCACGGCGATGTTCTTGGATACTGCACTTGCACCTCAAGCGACAAAGGGTCCTTAAAAGTCTCACGAACAGCAGAGATAAACCGAGCTGAGGCAGATGGCCGGGAGTTGGAGCGCCATAGCCCGCACCTGAGCTCAAAAGCTGCGACTAGCCGATCGGGCTAGCAAAATCTTGCATCTGCGCGGCTCATCTTCGCCGTCTTCTCGAGGGAAAAGGGGGCGTTTGACTGTAGATGAGCGACCCACCACAAACGATAGCCAGAGACAAGATCGACAACCTCTCCATACAAACTAGACAAACCCACTCCTCTGAAAGGTGATTTGTTTGGTTCACTGCTTCCATGGACCCCCGCTGCCGTATGGAGCTGGTAGCAGGGGGGCACTCTTTTCAAGCAAGCAAACACGAGCGATGCCTTCGGCATCATCCAAATTCACTCCGATGGGATCTATCGCAAACGCGCAGCAAAGGCAAGCACAAACGTCGCACACCGCGCGAATGCACCGACACAACAAACATAATGCCGCTGCAGTTCCGCCACAATTTGCAAACGGCAACACGGCGGAAACACAACGGACCAGCAATTGCAATTTGAGCTGCAATTTGCTAGGCACCGCCGCGCCGAGTATCAACAGCTAACTGCAGTACAATCTACCACGAAAATCGATAGAAAAAGGAAGTAAGCTGACAAACCCCAGTTGCTCTTTGTACTGCAAGATGCTCAGACGACGCAAACGTCAGCTGAAGTCTCACCAACTTTGACTTGTCCAGGACATAGGCGGCGCACCTCCCCGGGTCGAGGAAAAAGGAACTTTGTCTCAGAAGATCTTTGGCGCTTCGGCATGCGTCAGCGAGAATTTGAATTCACACCTCTGCTTGAGTGGATATTGTTTTTCTAGCACTAAGGAGTGGACTGCTGTGTTATTGGGGGTTGACGCAGTGGATTTCCCTGTCTCATGTCCTTCTACGGGAAAGTCAACGAATCCAGTTCGCTGCAGTTGCATGGGCCCGCTTTGACGTTGGCCTCCCAGCATGCCATTGTCAGGCGTGCTATATTTGCAGTGTTCAAGGTGCTACATCTACAGCATTTGTTGTATGAGAGGCCCTCGCTAGGTGATATTGGCACCGGTATGTATGTCGGTGCTTTCTCTTTTTTTGAGCCCGTAATGTTGCCGAGAGCGAGGGCTAAACTCATCAGTTTTGGCGCTGGACGCAACGTGCGGCACTTGCCAGGCCTTTGGCTTAGCCTTTGGACTTGGCCTGCGAGCACTGCGAAGCGCCGTGTGGACTTGGAATTCGCAGACTGCGTGTGTCGTGCATGCACAGGGAGCCCAGGCCCTAGTCCCGGGCTTTCCGGGCGTTTCTGGTATACGTCTCGATGTTCCGGGTTGGGGACGGGAGGTTCCGGTTGACTAAGGACGAAAACAACGATATTCTGCTGCTTGAAGTATGACTTGGAGCATGTTGCTTTTTATCTGTTTCTACCGCCTGCGGCAAGAAGGACATGCGGCGCTCCTTCTCCCCTACTATAAAATCTTGAACGGTTTGCCTTGAGTTACATCAACGACTCCCAGCCTTGACTTTGAAGGGGCGACTGTGGCTGCCTGCCAACACCCGAATCTCTATGCCGGACCTCTGTGCCGGAAGTTGGATCTGAGTCAGTGGCATCACCATGCCGCATCCTGCAGCTAACCTGCAAGTGCATGACTGGGCATATCCCTTACCCCTTCGATCCTGGCCGAGGAACGGCGGACTGACAGGTGCCATTCGCAGAGGCGACCTGTCAGAGATCGAACACCACAAGCACTTGAAGCACTTGGTGTTGCCACTGTTGGGCGGCTACGATGTTGAGCTCGCTAAGGCCGCGATTGCTGGTGCAATCAAACAGCGAAGAATTACCAACAACATATTCGACGTCCCTTGTGACCGTTGTGGCTCCAAGCCATGTCTACTATAGGTGGGCAACACCATGCAGATCATCTCAACACATTTTCATTTTGTACTTCTTAGCCAGTGAAGATTCGGGTAGCCTGGCATCTAGCTATAAGAGCATGACTGTTCAGTACAGCATTCATAACTAGATGGATAATCATACAAAACGTAGTACGTAGTTAAACGCTTGCTCATCGATGAGCAGTGCCTCATTGAGAAGATTTCCTAAGCGTATTCAAATATCGTGTCCACATGACGCAATAAACAAATGCCAACCACAAAGCAAGTAAGTCAAACTTGTCTCATTTTTTCAGGACGGGGAAAAGACATAGTGACAGAATCCATTGTGGAACGACAACTGGGCATCCAACGAAGGATTTTATAAGTATTCGGTAAGTAGCAACCTGTGATAGGGTTTTTGTCTACGTTCGACGGTATGCGAAAAGAGACGAACAAACATCCGCTCGAGCCTTGCATCAATACCATGACACCATCAGGGCCCTTGCTAGCGAATCCTTGGCCTTGTTGTCCGTCGGTTTTTGTTGCAACATGAAATGAACCTAATCCGCTTTGGCTGCGACAAAGACAATGATTCTAATGGTGATGGTGGTTTGTCCGTGGCTAGTATTGCCAGGCTACGTCTGTCTTCTGCAAAGCAGATACAAATAAACGCTGAGAATCCATGACACATATTCATGCGCATGAATTTTGCTACAAATGTGACTACTGCGGAAAAGGGGACTGTTGTGGTGCGTGAACACAAACATGACTGCATAGGACAGGGTGTTTTGCGTTATGCAATTCCTCGAAGGCAGCCCCTATTTCCCAAACAAGTACGGTTTGGGGTTTTTTTCCTCAGAAAAAAGGTGGGCCACGGTGGCTGGATGGGTGGGCCCCGGCGACGGGACTGGACTCCCATTGGGCTCCCTTCATGTTTCTTTTCTGAGCTCTTGGGTCGGATGGGCGGGCCGCGGCGACGGGGTGGGCTCCCGTTGGGCTCCCTTCATCAATGGGTTCCCTTCATGTTTCCTGTCTGCGGATGGGTGGGCCGCGGCCAAGGAGCTGGGCTCGCATTGGGCTCCCTTCATGTTCCCTTTCTGGGCTCCTGGGTCGGATGG